AAAGAAAGAAAGAAAGAAAGAAAGAAAGAAAGAAAGAAAGAAAGAAAGAAAGAAAGAAAGAAAGAAAGAAAGAAAGAGAGAAAGAAATAGGGCCGGGGATTTAGCTCAGTGGTGCTGCACCTGTCTCATAAGCACAAGGTCCTGAGTTCAATCCCCAGTACTGCAAAAAGAAAAAAGAAAGAAAGAGAAAGAGGGAGGGAAGGAAGAGGGAAATATCATGAACTTAGTTAACACCTTACTCAAAAAAATATTTACCTGAGACACAGCAATTGAACTCAGCCAGTCTTGGTTCACCCTCTCTGAGCAGGAGCACTGAATTGGATGCCAGGCTAGCAGGGCTGCCAAACTGAGAAATAAAATACAGGATATCCAGTAGAATTTGAGTTTTAGACCAAGAATGGATCATTTTTTCCTAATAGTGTGTCCTAAGAAATGTTAGGGATATGCTTAATACAATCGTGTGCCGCACAATGACCTTTCAACCAAAGGCACACTGTGTGTGCAACAGTGGTCTGTAAGGTTATATCATATTAGGGACCTTGTCTCTCTCTTGACTTATGTAAGTAGTCTATGATGTGCCCAATGACCCATTTCTCAGAACTGTATGTTTGTTGTTAGCCAACATGTGTCTGTGCTTATCTGAAATCAAATTTAACTGGGAGACTACATTTTCTCTCCACATACCTCGATCCTACTGCTCCCAGAGGACCCAGCAAAACATCAGCCTCCAGAATCCAGTGTTCAACCCCAAGGCTAGCGATAAGCACAACTGAGAAGTGAGGGGAGGGGGTGTTAAGGCACAAAGAAGATAAAAAAGAAAAGAGCAGGGATGTGAGACTGACCTTATGAAAGCCTGAAGCCAAGGAGCAGGTGACTTCTAATCTAATCATCTCTGGTCACCATAGAAACCAGCTGTAAAGTCCGCCAGAAGGAACTAGTGAACTAATATCCACTGCCTCTCCACTTCTCTTGTCTAGCTTGGTTCCTTTGTCTCCGTTTTTCCCCCAGGACCTAAGCCAGCCCTCTTCCCCCCAAACCCCTTCTCCCCTTTCCAGCCACAGCCTCAGACGGCTGTACTTCAGTGCCACCCTGCAGGGACAGAGGCGCGCAGGACACTCAGACCCTGCCCTGGAGGAGGCCACATTCTAGTCAGGGCACAGGCTACACAGGAGGAAAAAGACCCGAGGACAGAGACCAAAAACTTGTTCTAAAAAGAAACAAAATCAAGTGAGACCTGGCCGGTCTGCACATGGATCTCTGTCCGTCCCAGAGTAAAGTTATTCTCTCTTAATCCAGAATGCTATTAAATTGATTGGGAAAATATTCCATCTTTCAGACAAGCCAGTTCATGAGCAGTAAGCTTTGAAGATATTTTCCAGAGAGCATTTGGTTTGACTCTGGAAATTAGAGGCTTATTGAAAGTAACATGCAAATTTGTTCAAAATGTCTTCAACTTTGGGAGGGCGGGCCAGAAGACTGGATTAAGCTCATGCAACACTTGAGAAGGGATTTTCCATACACAGCCTGAGGTCTGCCTAACACCTGCTGGATGGGCCCTGATCTCGTAACAGCTGTACAAATTCTCCACGGGGCAGCACACTGCATTTCCACATCTGCCCTCCTCTCCACAGAGCAACCTATGAATATTGTTCCCATTTTACAGATAGGAAAGAGGGCATCTTAGTGATTGATGAAGCCATCATACACAGTCATTTTGCTTTAAGTAACACACATAGCCCAAGGCCTGCCCTGTTTGGAGGTGGGGCGTGGTCAGAGGGGCGAGTCACTGGAGATACTGATACAGGATATGATACAGGAAATTAAATATGAAAATATTTTTTCTCCCAACCTGTTAGATGTCTGATACGGCAAGCTCATGTTCTCTAAAAATCAAAGAATGAATTCTAGGAACAACAGAGGTTAAGAGTAGGAAAATATTTATTGATAGGATAGCTCCTGAGAGGCAGGAGAGGTCCTGATTAGGTAGCTGGGGACCCACTTTACAGGGGAGTTTTGTAGAGCAAAATCCAGATGAGTAAAACATGGGTTACAGCTATAATCGTTCAATAAGGTTACAAGTACAATCACTTAGGTAATAGTGGTCCAATTGGGAAACAAGTCATGTACCAAGTGTGGATGGAAAGAACAAAGACTTTTAGGAAATGGGTCCAAAGGTCTTTGGTCACCCACCGAGGTGGCTGATATCTATCTGGACTTCATTAGGCCCAGTGTTTGTCCTTTGAGGAAGTATACAGGCCTGGTCATCTCATCTTTATCTTGAGGCCTGGTCTCCCACAGATACATCTCCGGCCACAGTTGTGGTGTGTTTCACCTTTGCCCTGACTCTCTCAAGGGCCTAGCCCTATCTGTCTATAATAACATGACTTGGAAGGGTATGTTCCTCTCTCTCTTTCTCTCTCCCTTCCTGTCTCTCTCTCTCTCCTTCCTGGCTGCCACGCAGTGAGCAGCTCTCCTCCACCATGCCATTCTGCCATGCCATGTCTGCCTTGACACCAGCGAACCATAGACTGAGTTCACTGAAACCATGAGCCAAAACTAAGCCTTTTCTCTCCTTTAAGTTGTGGGTATCAGGTATTTTGTCCCAGTGGTAGGAAAGTGACTAATACACCTAGTCTGGGACAATTTGCACACATGTCATTTCATGCCTTAAGGTTCTAAATTCTTAGAGGTGTTTTATTTTGTTTTGAGGTGAGTTTTTTGTTTGTTTGTTTTATAAGCAGGGTCTCGCTGTGTCGTTTAGACTGGCCTTGAATTTGCAGCAATCTTCCTGCCTCAGCCTCCTGAGTACTGGGATTATAGATCTGTGTCACCATGCCCATCTCTTAGGAGTTGTTAAACAAAAATTATAGAAAACTATTTGTTCTGAATTGAGTCCCTGCACTAGGCTTCAGCAAACCAGGCACCAACAACGTGGAGTCACTCAGACTAAACGCCATAGAGTCTGACTGAAGTTTTAAGGAAGAAGATAGATCCCAAATAGACCAGTTTTTCCTGGGGAAAAAAAAAGGAGAGTCCAGTCTACCTGAGTCAACAAAGCAAGTCTCCTCACTTTAACCCTTTCCAAAAAATTAACCAAAGTAACCCGATGATAATCTTTTTTTTTTTTTCCTATTCTGACTCCTTTTTCCAGGAGCTGCTACTGCCCCAGCAGGAGCTCTCGTTTTATTTTGTACAGTGGAAGCTACCCCATCATGAATTGTTTAAAGTAGAAGCCAACTAGATTAATAATTAACTCTCTTGTGATCTTGTCTTTTGACAGGGTGCATCGCCTCCCCATCTCATCTACACCAAAGGATTCTGGGGCAGGGCCCCCCTGACACCCAGCAAATTTCCTTGCTTTACTGAAAGTTTGCTCTATGTGTTCTCTTCTGCTCAGAATGTCACACAAATTGTCTTTCATCAGTTTTAATCTGTCAAATCTAAACAGTTAAATGACACCTGCTCCTCTGAGGGCCAAGACCTCCCTATGAAGAAGGAGTCCTCCTCTGACTTTCTAAAAACTCAGAAAAGGAGGGAGAGATACCGAGTCCCACTTCACCTATTCATTATCTCCCTGGCCCCCAGTTACCAAAGTTCCCATTGGCTTCCTGGGCAGTGTCCTCCAGGATAGTAGATCTTCCCAGAAACTCAGGAGGCACATAACAGCTCAAGTATTAAGAATTGGTGCTGCAGATATAGCTCATTAGCAGGTGCATCCTTAGTACGTCAGAGGCCCTAGGTTTGAGCCCTAGCACCAAAACAAGAAGGAAGAAACAACAGTCATGCTGGTTTACAGATAATGTTATATAACTCAAGAAAACAGGGCTTACACAGGAATGAGACACATTTGTATGTGATGTACAGATTGAGCTTTATCTCTGAATTTCATCAAAGAGTAATCTGATGGATTTTATAAAGCCTATGTCTAAAGGTACCCATTCTGATTCCTCTCTGTTTTCCCCAGAATTTCTGTCCCCTGAGACCCTGATGGCTTAGCCCTGGGCTCACAACACCCTGCAGGCAGTAATGTCAATCCAGTTTTCACCTCTGAGGCCCATTCTGGCCAAGCAGCAGAAACCTGGAGCCTCACTGTAGGTCATTCCTTGGTTTGAGGGCTGGCTAGGCACCCCTATGGTGTCCATGTGGGTGTTTCTCCCCAAAGTGATCCCTCTTCTCCGCTTGGAGCAACCCTGCTCCCTCTTCAAGTTCCTGCTCAAATCACCCCTGAATTCCAGTTTCACTGGGCCAAAACCTTTGCTCCATAGAAAACCATCAGCTGGGCACTTACTAAAAGGATTTGCAATTGTAAGTATGTATCTTCTGCAGCTCAGAAGCAGCTCAGGAAGACCCGGAGCCATTCTCAGGAATAGAGCCATCAAAAAAATACTTCAGTCTCTACAACTCCATGGAAGAATAGAATCCTAACTTTGATACAATTACCAGTTGTTATGGTTTAGATCTAAAATGTCCCCCAAAGGTCTCATGTGTTCAGAGGTGAGGCTTTGGTAAGGTGACCATGGAGTGCTATACTTATCAGTAGAGAACCAACTGACCATGCATGGATTGGACCCTCTGAAACCATAAGCCAAATAAACATCTGTAATTTACAGGTGTTGAGTATTTTGTCATGGCAACAGGAAAGTGACTAACATGACAGTCAACAAACCCAACTGGCCTGGACTCATTTCAACTAACCAACCTTTGCATTCTACTTCTTCCTGTCCCAACCCTCACGCTCTCCCTCAGTTACTTGAATTTAGTTGGCTTTAAAAATCACCAAGTCTGGAGGTCATGTAGCTGAGCTATATGTTATTAGTTTCCCACTAGTGCTGCTGTAGATAATACCTCTGATTTTTTTTTTTTTTGGTACCGGGGATTGAACTTGGGAACTTGCACTTGTGAGGCAGGCAGTGGAACCACTGAGCTAAATCCCTGGCCCCAATACCTCTGATGTTTTGGTTGTGATGATAACAGTTGCATAGGTCCTTTTAGGGACTCAAAGGCTGTTTTTGTTAAAACCACCACTCTCCACTTGAGTCTATTCAGATATCCAATGGATGATGTTTTGAAGTCAGAAGTTTGAAAACTCCACCCTGAGAGCACGCTAATGCCACCTTTTTCTGAACACGTGTCCCATCAAGAGCCATGAAGTTGGATGACACATGTGCAGATCACTGACGACTTTCCCCATGCGTCACAGCACTCTGCTCCTTTGGGATTTTTATGGTTTTTAGTTGTTTTGAGGAGGTATCTCAATATGTGGTCCAGCTGGTCTCAAACTCACGATCCTCCTGCCCCAGTCTCCCAGGTATTGGGATTACAGGCATGTGCCACCATGCCCGGCTCTGATTCTTTATCCCATAAATATCCCCAAACCCTATTCTTGTGGAAGCAGACTTGAGACATGGGGTCTCACCTCCATGCCACCCTGTGAATAAACTCATTTGCAAAACTCATATATGTGATTGTGTCACTTGGTGGGCAAAACAGTCCTCGTCACCTAAAGGACTGCTGTGAAAACTGAGGTCAAGGAGGTCAAGCTCTGGGCACAGGCCTGACACAGACCGGGTACCTGATCCAGGACACTTCAGAGTGTCACTGTCACTCCTGACTCCCTGCCCCCTTGAGAATCTATCCCTTCCAACTCCCTTTTCCTCTTCTCACATGGCACATGGCTCCTCACCCCTTTCCTCTATTGAATCTCAAACTCCTGGAGGGCAGTGACCTTGTCTGATGTTATGGCCTGTGTCTAGCTGTCCCCTAAAGCCTCATGCGGTCATAGGTGGAGCTTTACAGAGGTGGCTGGATCTGGAGTGTGTGATGCTGGGCAAAGGGTGTGTGATTACTAAATTAGTCCACTGGTTTGGCATAGTTCTGGGTAGGATTAAGGGTGTCCCACCCCAGGTGTGATAAAATATAAGGGGCAGAAAAAGGCTAGAGTTGTCACTTGTCGCTTGTTGCTTGCTGCTTCTCGTGCCTCCTGTTTTGCTGCCCTCTGCCAGCTGTGAGCTGTTTGTCCTCTGCGATGCCTCTCTTCCCTGCCAGTCTGCCTTGGAGCCAGCCACTTACGCACTGAAACCTCCACAAACTGTGAGCTAAATAAACCTTTCCTCCCTTAACTTTGGGTGTCAGGTATTTTGTCTCAGCAAGGAGAAAAGTAACATCTGGCTACTCTTCAGGGTCACATTCCTGGCTCTGGGCCTTAAATTTAGTGGGGTCTGTGTGTATTTGTCAATAAATCCTCCTTTGTCCCATGTTCTAGAGATAGCCATTTGATGAATGGTTAGGACATCTTGAGAAATTAAAATTCATTTTATGATGTAACTATAGAGACTGTGCTGCTAGTGACATCATGCTGGACTGGGTGACACCAATATCATTAGTAATATTTACTTTGGGACAGTGCCCTTGGCCTGGACCAGCAGGGAAAATGGTCCAGAGCCCTACTGAGTGAGTCACTGTTGCCTATAGGAACCTCTTCCTATGGAAGGGGACTGTCAGCTGGTGTGGGCTGCCCCAGCCTGTCCCTGGGGACAGCTGTGTTTCATACATCCTACTCCCCAGTGTCTCAATAAATATGTTTGAATAAATGAATGATACCTTTAAAGTCACATAAAACTGGAAGTGCTGTTGCAGACAAAGAGCTCAGAAAAATCTTTCCCCTGGGTCTCCTGTCTCCCTGATGACTGTCAGCAGGCTCCAATGAAGGAGAGTTCTGGCACATCCGCAGGGGCCAGACAGGCTCCTCCTTTGCTCACTCCTCCAGGCCACTGGGCACACCATTCCTTCCTGCAGGAAAGCCCTTCCCTTGTCTACTAGCTGGTGACCTCCTTTGTCCAGGGCCCTTCTTACTTATCACACTCTCTCCAACGGCGCTTCCTGCTATAGATGGGTATGTGGCAGACCCCTGAGGGGTTTTTCTAAGTCTTCACTGGCCATGTACACAAGTTCAAGGCAGTCTGGGGGCAAGCAAGAGGAAGGGCCAGACAGGCCCTATGTCTGTGCCTCAGTAATTAGATCTGCACTAACGGGGAAAATGTGCTTGCGCGATCAAAGCAGTCCCCAAAGGAGTCTTGCCTCTCTGGTATGTCAAGGGGTAGGACACCCTTCAGCACTCCTGAAGAGGAAGGTAGACAGCTGGCCCAGGTGAGAACAAGGAGTAGGATTTTAAAGGCCAAAAGTCCCCTGCAAACAAACCAGGGACAGCCTAGCTGCCTGGATGGCTCTGAGAAGCACCTAAATCCATGAGGGAGCAAAGCCGGGCAGCGTTGGTGCAGAAGGCGAGCACCTTCAGAGACTGAAGAATCTTGAGTCCAACTCCCATCCTCTCCACCACTCGCAAGCATGACCTTAAAGCAAATCCCCTCGCTTCTCTCAATTTTACCTGTAAAATGATCTCCCTGGCAGCTGGAACTAGATTCCTACTTCACTTTGCTGGGAGATGTGAGCAACTCAGCGGGCGGGGATCCCCAGGAACACATCCCAAGCCTCCAGGAGCTCCCTGCGGACCCTGGAGAGAGGACGTTTCCACTTCCTAGCTAGTCTCAGACATCGTCCCTCTCAACTCCTCCAAAGTGTTTACAAAACGTGCTAACATCCATGCTGCATTTTCTTTATTTCGCCCCATCAGCCCCTCTTACAAACAGGGAGGCCAGACCCTTGGGGTACAGCTCAGTGGTAGAGCACTTGCCTAGCACGCCTGAAGCCCTGGGTTCTATCCCCAGCACCGTAAAGAAGAAAAAAAGGAGATGGGAGGAGGAAGCGAAGAATACCCGGCTGGGAACGTCCAGTGGGTGGGTACCAGGGACGCCTCCCCGAGCGCGGGGCGGGGCGAGCAGCGCGGGGCGGGGCTGGGGCGGGTCACGTGACGCCCGGCCCGGAAGCGTTCGTGCTGGAGACCCCCGGGTGACCCCGACGAGAGCTGTTGACTCCCGAGGGTCCCTACGATTCCCACCATGGCCTGGACCAAGTACCAGCTGTTCCTGGCCGGGCTCATGCTGGTCACCGGCTCCATCAACACGCTCTCGGCAAAGTGAGTCTGGGCCTGGCCAGGGGGCCCCTGCCGCGCGCCCCTTCCTCCGCTCTGCTTTCCGGCTTCACCCGCTCTCGCAGTGGCCGGGCGGCTCGGTCCGCTTACGGACCATCCAAGGGCTGCGAGGCCCGGGCTGGGGGATCCGAGCCCCCGCAGAGTCGGCCCTATTCCAGAGCCGGACTTTGCACCTCCGTTTCCTCACCTTTGAGCCAGAGGCTTGGAGCGGTTCCTCTCGGCGGCCCTCCAGTGCTGCGCTCCTCCAGCGGCTGGGGGCCGATGGAGAAGGCTGCAGGATTCGGGCACGCGAGTGCTGGAGAGGCCGTGCAGGCCGAGTGGCCAGTGAGCGCGCAGGGCTGAGGCAGCAGAGACGAGGCTGCCCGCGGGCCGCTTGTGGAGGAGGGATGGGAGCTGCGCCTGACGCCTAGATGGGGTTGTGTGGGTGGGGGCGCAGACTTGCAGGCGGGGAAAGCTAGCTCAAAGCCACTGGTAACCAGCCCTGAATGTCTGGCTGGATTTTACTCCATTCTGAGAGGGACTCTTGATCCGGAAAGTGACATGTTGAAAGTCTGGAAAAAAGAAAGAAGCAGTATGGGCAACCCGAAGGTCAACGTGAACGCACTGGGGCAGGGAAGACCACTCTGGCTGCTGCTGGCAAATGAAGGCAACTAGGAGGGGAATGAGAGGGGAAAGGCAGGGAGGGTCAGATGGGAGAGTGAAGGGTGACCTGTCCCACAAGATTAGGCTTTCTGCCTGGGGAAGAGAATGCCGTCAAGCCAGCCCAACCGGGAGGGCAGTTGCGCAGTTCAGCTCTGGTACATGGTGGGGAGAAAGTAAGGACAGTCCCTAGGAGGTGAGGACCGGGGACCCAGGGCAGCCTGAGGCTGAGGGACCCAGCGCTGCCTCCTCTGTCCCCACCTCAGGGGAAGATCCTCCATCTCCTGTTCACCATCTAAAAGCCCCAGTACCCAGAGCCTGGCCTTTGTCTGGACTAATTCCAAGGTGCAGGTGGAGAAGGGTGGACAGTGGTCCCCTCCCAGGCAGGCCTCACTTCCACCTGGCCCCTGCCTGCCCCAGAGCCCACAGGCCGGTGTGGCGACTCAGTGGAAGCTTCCCCACTCTCTGGGCTGTCCTCCAGTCTCCTGGGTTTTCTGGGAGGCTCGTGTGGCTCATGGTAGAGTGCTTGCCTAGCATGCCCACAGCCCTGGTTTTCATCTCTAGCACTGCAAAGAGAGTGAGCCTCTTCAGGGGTGTGGCTGTTCTTATTGGTCTTTCAGGCATTTATGTCTAGCATTTCTGTCTGTGATATGAAGGGTGCTTTAGAGGAGAGACCGAGAAATATTCAATCACCAGATGTATATAAGATACCTACAGAGAGAGGGAAGCAACCAAGAAAAGGTCCTCGATTTTGAGATGCTTAAACAGTCCGAGGTGGGCACACGTGGCAGTCACAGTGACCCTCCTTCCCCTAAAGGAGGATACAGTCTGTGGAGCTCTGGGTGGGGTGGAGTGGGGTGGGGGGTGGCCCACCCATGTCTGGTTCACCCCTGATCAGCTGTGTCCTGTGGGGCTGCTGGCCTCCTGGGCCCTGGAGGTCACTCCTTGAGACTGAGGGTTCCCGTCTCAGGACCTGAACACAGCACAAGTCTTCCATCCAACTGTCATACCAGCCAGGGCCTCGGTCACACCAGCCAGGGCCTTGGAGCAAAGTTCTAAGTCTTCCAGGGTTGCTGTCTCCAAGGAGAATCTAAATGGCCATTTACTACTGGGATAAACTGCGCTGTGTTAGCTTCTTCCTTCAAAAGCTCAAAACAGTCAGGTAGGAAGCCAGGGGACCTTCCAGAGGTGTCACTCTGGGAAGCTGCCTGAGAGTCAGGAAACAGGTTCCCAGGTGAGAGACCCAACCTTTGGTCCTGTCCCCTGCCCTGTAACGTGGGGCTTCTCCCATCCTGAAGCGAGCCCCAGAGCTGGACCCTAAGCAGTATTCTAAGTCCAAACTGAGAAGAGGCAGCTCTTAGACAGAAAGAACAAGGGAGAGCAACGTAACTCTTAATGTGAATTATGGATTGAAAATCACATTTCTGACCTGCGGTTTCCATTGGGTGCAGAGAGCCAGGCCTGTGATCACAGTCAGCGTGGCCAGCCAGTTCACAGAGAGCACCTGGACCTACCAAGTGCCTGGCCGTCCTCTGGCTGCCTTTCTTGTAAGTTCAGTGAATTATTTTGACCACCCTGTGAGGTAGATACATCATCTCTGGATAAGGAAACTGATGTATGGTCTGATAAAGTTACCGAATTTAACTCACCTACCAGCTGGCAGAGTCTCTATGTGAGTCCACGTGGTCTGGCTCTCAAATCTGTTCTCTTGCCCACCAGTGGGGGAGGCAGGGACTCCACCAGTCATTTTTGAGGTGCTTAGAATTGTTAGAAACAAAAATCATCCAGTCTTCTTCCTCAATTTACAGGGGAGACCCCAAGAGAAAGTGTCTTTCTATGAGTTAGCTGGTCGGTGGGGAATGACAACTAGCACCCAGGCCTCAGGACTTTAGTCCTGTCCTGTTCTTTAAGACCCCAAAGTCCTGCCTCATTGGGCTTTTCCCTTATCTCCCCAAGGACAGCAAGCCTGTGTCCTCCTGGGACTGGGCTGCAAGCCTCTGCTTGGACCAGGGAGCCCTGCTGTCATGTTGCTTGTCTTCCGCTGGAGCCAGAGGCCACTCAAGGCTCAGATTGAGCGTTCTGCAGCTCCTGCAGTGCCTTGGCCCATAAAAGAAGCATGATGCTCCTCCTGGCTGCCCAGAAGACTCCGGGTGGTGGATGAGGAAGCGCTTATGAGCTGTGCTGGAATCCCAGGTCAGCTCTTCTCCACCTATTCAGCAGCTTCTGGAAGGCCGCAGGGAGAAGTCACGTGTCCCTGGCAGGGAAAAGCACCAGTCAGTCAGGCTTCACCCCTCGTGGGGAAGTGGCTGCTTCTCCTTCCCCTGGCTGTGTTCTCACCCCTCCCCAGCACCTTGTGTTGATTGTCTCCCTGAGATCTAACTCTGTCTTCCCAGACGGTCCTCATTTCAGACCTCATTCTCCTGAACTCCACTTAGGTTCTGCATCTGAAGAGCCAAGGCCAAGCATCTCCATAGAGATGAGAGGCTCATAGTCAGGCATCCTCTCCGAAGGCTCAGGCGCCTCCCCAGCTTCTGCAGGCCGTAGGACCCACCCAGCTAGGGTGGGCAGATGGCCCTGAGTTCCGTGCATCTCTGGACCTGCCACCTTGCCTGGCACCAGCAGGCCTCTATTAGACAAGAGTCTCTCACTGTCCTGTCCTGCCAGCTCCAACTTGTGCCCTGGGTACCTGCCCCCACCCTTGGGTTCCAAGAACTGGCTGGGTGGTTTCTTCAAAGGAGCTGCAGGGGCAGTTTGGGGACGCCTTCAGTCGGGAGGGCAGTGTAGTAGAAAGAGCGCAAGGCTTGGAAGCTGTGGGATGAGATGAGTCACTGGGCCTCCCTGAGCCTTAGACACGATGGTCCCTGCCCTGCCTTCTTCCGGGACAGTGTGGGACTGAGGAAGGTCTTCCCAGCTGTGGAGATGAGAGGGCTCAATGTCACATCTCCTCTCATAAGCCAGGGCCACCTGCTCATAAGCCTCAGCCCACCAGGACCCAGATGCAGTGGAGAAGCCCCAGCGCTTCTCTGGATCCCTCTTTTGTAGAGCCCAAGGCAGGAGGAACTGACTCCCTGGGCTTGACAAGCTGGGGATGCAGCAGGAAATGGCAGAGATTCCGTGGGAATGGACTTGCGGTTGATTGGCCTGCGCCAGCCACATCAGCCCCTCCCTGCCACCCTGCCACGGGCACACAATGCCCACAGTGCTGTGCTAAGTGTGAGCAGGCCCCGCCAAGTCAGCAGAGTGACCGCTCGGCAAGGGCAGCCCGCTCCCCAGCCTGCCTGCCCACGCTCAGGAAACCCTAGAAGCAGCAGGCCCTGCCTGCGGAGGAGCTTCCTCATGGGCCTCAGCCTGTCCCCCAGAATACAGTGTCCATAGAGAAAGGAGGCCCATCTGTCTCCACAGCCGACCCTCCGCCCCGCAGGTGAGCGAGAAGAGTGGAGTAAGAATGAACGTCATAGGAGAACTTCAGGGTCTCAGGGAGGCGCACAGAACCGGATGTGGCCATTGCAGGTGCTGGCCTTGGGAGTCAGCCATGTCTCAGTTCCTGAGGAGCTCTGTGTCCCTGAGGCCTTCTCTGGCCCTGGGTTTCCCTTCTGTCATATACGGAGTTTCATGAGATGATGGCTGAGTCTCTTCTGTATCCACATTTTATGGCCCTGTAGAAGTGCAGGGCCAGTGGCCAGAGCCCCTCCAGCCGCCCGCCCCAGCCAGCTGAGCCAAAGCCTGACTCCTGCCCCCAGGGACCTACAGGCCTGAGCTGCTCCTCCTCGGCCTGAGGCGACAACTGGGCAGAGCAGCCTGTGCCACTGACACCCAGTCCCTAGGGTTGCTGTGCTCTCTGATACAAAGGGATTGCGTTTCCCCCAGCAGGCAGCCCGCCAGCCCAGCCTGTCCAGGCAGACCTACCTCGAAGAGAAAGCCAAACGACCTGAGGGGAGGAGGGAACTCAGCGCAGCCACAGCCAGCTTCCTACAAAGTGGCCCACGCTGGGAGAGGGTGGCCCCCAGAGAGGTTTCCCTGCTGGCTCAGCTGGTTCCACCATCTGGGGCACTGCAGGCCATGGAAGTATGACTCAGGGAGACGTGGCCTCCGGGCTCCCACTTTAGAGGGGTCTGGAAGTCTCATTCATTCAACAAAACCTGTGTGCTTCTGTGCCGTAATGGGCCAGGAGCGGAGGGCTGAGAGGGTGGGAGAGCTGGGTGCTGAGCTCAGTCTCAGCCCACCAGTGAATGCAACCGGAAGAGGCCACCCATTTGAGTCATCGTTAGTGTAAGCTGCACAGGCAGCAGCCCAGGGCGAGTCCTGGGGATGGCACCACCGCTAGATGGGGGGAACCCTTCCTGAGCTGCCTGTCTGTGGTCTGGGTGTAACCCCAAGAGGAGAGTGGTTTCCGTACAGAAAGTGTTGTAGCCCCTCTGAAAGCAAGTGCTCACGCTAGGCTTCTGGTTGGCCCTGGTGGACTCACAGCACCTCCCTGTGCCCCCTGGAGGAGCCCTGCGACTCCCATCTAGGTCCTACTCTCTTGCTCGAGGCAGGCGGCTCTCTGCCCTTGGTACAGCTTCAGCCCTTCACTCCCCTGCCGCTCGGCTGCCTCCCCGAGGTCTTCCTGGGGCTCTGGGGTCAGAGCGGGCCTGCTGGCTGAGCCATCCATTTGGTCGGTGCCCCCATGCACATCCCATGTCCTGTCCTGCCCGAGGACCCACGAGCCAGAACCAGAAGCAGTTCAAGCAGAAATGAGACCTCAGAGAAGGGGTTCTGTTCTGTAGGAGGGGCGGTCTTGCCCTCTTGGCACTGGCACTGGTCACAGCCTGGTCCCCTGGCCCTGGCAGGGTTCTCTGTGCCTTCTCACCAGTCTTGTCAAGACTTCCCCTGTGTATGTTAGCGATGTTAAGATACAAATGCTTCAATCACAACTGAATTCTAATCTTTAAACTGTTACTGTGGATAATAATAAAAAGCCATTACACAGCTTCTTTGTGATACATTGCATGTTTTTTAAAAAATGTCATTCTTTTGTTTGATCAATTGTATTCAGAATGTAATTTAATATAGTCCCCAGATATGGTTTTGTTATAAATTCTTTATTGTCTTTGGGGGACATAATTATATGTTTTTCTTTTTAAGGAAGAAAAAGATGCCCCCTGCCCTATTCCCGAGAGCCACAAACCCTCCTAACTGGCCCTCCTCCACATCTCCAGGAGCGGGCAGGGTCTCCCGCTGTGGTCAGATGTTTGAGTAGATGTGGTCGCTCTCTGAGGTCACTTCCTCAGCGGTCTGGGTGTCCCTCGTGGTTGCCCAGGAGCTGCACCCCCAGCTGGCCCTCCCCATTGCCAGAGTCCCCATCCTGCCCTTGTCGTGGGTGGGGGAGGGGGCTCCCTGTTGCCCTGCCCCAGCTCAGGGCCACAAAGGAGCCAGGGCTGCCGGGAAGGACGTTTGTCAAACCCAGACCACAGGCACTTGGCGCTGCCAGTGGCTCAAGCTCTGTGGCACTGTGGGAAGCACAGGAAGCAGAAGGCTCTTCCACTCTGGGAGCACAGGCTTGTGACAGATAAGCCAGGATTGTGTGGCAGTCACTGTGGAAAGACCCCTCAAGGACATTTCACAAAAGGAATCCTACACTTTGCTGTCTGCATGTGAGGCATTGCCCTGGAAGCGGGTGCCATCCCACAGGTCTGCACAGCAGGTGACACGGCTGACACAGTGAGAGCAGTGTCAGCTGGCCTCTGTCCAGACCAGATCATGTGCTTGGCTGTGTGCCTGGACCCACCAGAGCGCTTCCAGAAGTCAGCAGCCAGAGGAGCAAAAGGTTAGGAAGGGCTGGGGCTGTAGTCAGATGAGAAGATGCAGAAGGTAGCAGAGTCCCCAGATGGCCGAGGGACTTTGAATGTAGGATTGGACTGGACTCCAGAGACACAGTAGCCCGGTGGAAATGACACTCAGGAAAAGGGAGTTGTGCAGAGATGCCAGAGGATTCAGAGCGATGCCACCTTCTGGTGTGGCCACCTGAAGCACCGTGCCGTGAAGGATCCTGGGCTCAGTGGGAAGAGTGCTTAGTAACTTCCTGCTGTCTGCCTCTCGCCATCCACCCACTGTGGCGTCCACTGTCACTTCCCAGCTGCAGTGCGTTTGCCACCTGCTTTAGGATCAAGCTCAGAAGGACCTTTCAGGCTCCAGGAAAATGATCAAGTAGTCCTGTCCCGGGACCCAGCACTCTGCTAGACCAGAGGGTCTTTTGGTTTTGTTTTTTGTTTTGGTGGGATTTTTTTGTTTGCTTGTGCTTGTTTTTTGAGACAAAGTGTCATTACACAGCCCAGGTTAACCTCAGTTTTGCAATCCCGCTCCCTCGACCTCCCCACTGGGATTATAGCTGTGCAACATCAGGCCTGGAGTCCAGAGGCTCTTGACGCTTTTTGTGCTTCAAATCCTTTTGACAGCCTGGTGTAGCCTGTGGCCATCTTCTCAGAGTAACGTTTTAAAATGTGCAAAAGAGACCAAAGATCACAAAAGAAGCCAATTAAATTAAAATAGCTATCAAACACTGAAAAGCGAATTTTCAATGTAGTAATATACACGTATATGTTTGTTTGTTTGTTTGTTTGTTTGGTACCGGGAATCGAACTCGGGTCCTTGCGCTTGCGCAGCAGGTGGCAAAACCACTGAGCTAAATCCTCAGCCCACACATAAATGTTTCTTAATACATTAAATTTCAGGTAGTTAGTCCAGTGACTAATTTTGATGAGTAATGAGCATAAATGATATTTTGCCACGTATACTGCAATTTTAATAGGATTTCTGTCAGTCACTGCAATACCACGTTCATAAGTCGAGGAACTGCAGATATAAAACCCTTGCTGAGGAGGCCGGCCCCTGTGAGAGGTGCCCTGGCTGGGCCCTGAGTGTGGGCCTCTTGGCACTGGGAGGAGGGAGCCCCAGGACTGCCAGCACTGACCTTCGCTCTCTCTGCTGCAGGTGGGCGGACAACTTCAAAGCAGAAGGCTGTGGAGGGAGTGAGGAGCACAGCTTCCAGCACCCCTTCCTCCAGGTACGGGCCTCTCCCCATCTCCCAGGACTCCGATGGACACCCCCAGGTGGGCTGTTTTCTGGCCGAGGGCTGGAGCTCCCCTGCTCCCAGGAGAGCCTTCTGCCTCTTGCTGTCCTCCACTAGAACAAGGCCTGTGAGTGGCCCTGGCAGAGAGGCAGAGGGCACAGGGCTCTGCGGGAGGCCTGAACCGCAGCAAGTTGTCATGCCCTCGCTGCATCCAGTCAGGACACAGGGGAGGTGCTGGCCCGTGCCCTGGGAGCTCAGGCATCCATGGGGACGGGGCGGTCCCCATCAGTTGGACTGGAATCAGGTGACTCACACTTCAGTCTGGGTTGTGTCAGCCACTTCCTTGTGGCCTTCCAGGAGTCAGGCTTTCTTGGCCTGAGTTACTTCATCTGGAATTTGGGGAGGGGTTGGCTGGGTGGGTCATCTTCACACAGTATCACACAGCCTCAGGGGGCTTTGGGGTCCGACCCAGGAGGCTGTGTGGCCTCCCACAGCAGCTCTACTTTTCTTTGACATGTCAGGATTCTAGGCAAGCTCTCAATGTAATCCCCAGGGTCCCTTCCTTACTGAGCCCTGCACTTCATGTCCCTGCAGGCAGTGGGCATGTTCCTGGGAGAGTTCTCGTGCCTGGCTGCCTTCTACCTGCTCCAGTGCAGAGCCACGGGGCAGTCGGACTCCGGTGTGGACCCCCAGCAGCCCTTCAACCCCCTTCTTTTCCTGCCCCCAGCCCTCTGTGACATGACGGGGACCAGCATCATGTACGTGGGTGAGTAGACAGGCCAGGCTATGTCCTGAAGGGCCACCAGTGAAACGGAACCCCCTCCACTCTCCCGCAGACTTCACACAACATGTGCACGGCACCAGGGTTATTGAGTGCTCACTGTGTGTGTGTACTTGGCTCCAGCCCTGGGGACGCGTCGGGGCAGCCAGCCTCTGACCTCCAGAGCTGACAGTGCTGTCTCTCCTCTGCTAGCCCTGAACATGACCAGTGCCTCCAGCTTCCAGATGCTCCGAGGTGCGGTGATCATATTCACAGGACTGTTCTCAGTGGCCTTCCTGGGCCGGAGGCTGGCACCTAGCCAGTGGCTGGGCATCCTGGCCACCATCGCGGGGCTGGTAGTCGTAGGCCTGGCTGACCTCCTGAGCAAGCACGACAGTCAGCACAAGCTCAGCGAAGTGATCACAGGTGCGGCCCTGTGGGGACCAGGGGCTGCCCATCCTGTCCTGTGGTGGCCTGTTCTCCTGGGGAGCCCGGCACGGAGTCGTCCCTCAGACTATACAAGTTCTGCCACGTGCAGTTCGTGGGTGAGGGCACATGCCTGCCACCGAGGGCTCGGAGAGCGCAGGGGAGACTGGAGAGGTGCATGTCTGCGCCAAGGAGTGGCAAGCTGTGTGAGCAGTGCGGGTGAGGAGCCGGAAGTCAGAGCGGGGGCTGCCGTGTGCTGTGAGTCAGAAGCACACATACCGACTGCCGGGCTAGGAGGGGACTGGAAAGTCCGCTTATTGAGCACTTAGCCTGTGCCAGCCCGGCACTGAGTACCATGTCTTCCTCATCACAGGTGCCTTCCCAGTCCCCAGGGGGAACCGTCACGGCCCGTTTTACAATGCACTGACCACTCTGGGTTGCTGAGAGTCTGGACTGAACCAGAAACATCTCTCAAACGTTGCCCCCTAAAGACCCACGTGCCCTGAGCTGCAGCTCTCAGGCCAGGCAGCTCCCCAGACCCTGGGACCTGCCCAGTGTGCCTGCCCCTCAGGCCTCAGGCAGTCAGGCACGCCCGTCGGGACGGCACCTTGTGAACTGTGCCCGAGCTGGGAAAGTCAGGAGCTGATGTGTTTGGTCCCTGGGCCCTCCAGGCACCACCCACCCCTGACCCCAGCCCTGGTGCGACCCTGGCTTCATCCAAGCCCTCCTTTCCTCAGGGGACCTGTTGATCATCATGGCTCAGGTCATCGTCGCCATCCAGATGGTGCTAGAGGAGAAGTTCGTCTACAAACACAACGTGCACCCGCTCCGGGCAGTGGGCACAGAGGGTGTGTGTGGCACAGGGACGGGGGCGGTGGCTGGAGGGCAGACACGCTGAGGGCCAGCATGTGGCATCACCCACACATGTGGAGCAAAGACTGGGTGCTGGTGATCACTGGTTGGGGAGGGGAGGGTGAGCCTCCTGCCCCCACCTCCCACGTCCCTAGATGGGAGTCCTCAGTGCCCACATCTGCTGTGCCAGACTGGAGGAGACCAAGGATGAGGATGACCCCTTTCTGTCGGGGGTGGCCAGCAAAAAGAAAGGCCCAGGCAGAGCACTTGAGCTTGGACCGCTGTGCTCAAGTGGTGCCTCACTCACCAAGCAAGTCTGAGTCTCTCAGGGCAAGGAAGGCGTCAGCGTCACAGATTCCAGCAGGCAGGAGTGGTACAGGCAGGGAAAGGTTTGGAAATCAGTGTAAATAATTGGAGTTCAATGTAGGTCTTATTGTTGGAGAAGTAACCAAGAATGTTATCAGGGTCCTGTCATGGAGAACCCTGGTGTCAGGCAAGTAGATTCAGACTAGGGGACCAGCAGGAGGAGCCACCAAGGTTTTTGAGCAGAGAATCACCTATCATAATTATCCTTTTAAAAAACAGAAGATTAGCAAAACAGATTAGAGCTGTGCTGGTAGAGCAGCCCGTGGATGAGTACCTACCAGGGGCTCTTCGGCCCTGGCCCAGTGAGGGCAAGAGTTGCTGATGGCCAAATGGAAATCAGTTACGTCTGAAAGCAAACTGTTCCCGCTCGTCTGTACTTCCTAGTGAGATTTTACGAAGGAAGCTCTGCATTTACTTACATTGTGGCACAAGTTAGCTTCCTTATCACAGACCAATTTGCATGCTGAATTACTACCTGTGTTTCACCAGACTTACAAAAGCAATTTAGTGAGTTGAAGCCACAGTTCTTTTTTGGTTTGGTACCCCGGATCGAACTTGGGTCCTTGGGCTTGCGAGGCAGGCAGCGGAACCACTGAGCTACATCCCCGGCCCCCCAGTTCTTTTTTAAATGAACAGAACAGAATTTAAACGTCACCAAGCATTGTACATAGTAAGGGAAGCCGTTGTTCGGGGAGTGTGTGCACGGGTATGCATACTTGTGGGCCTGAGGATATGCACTGGGGTCAGGTAAAAAATGGATTTCTTATTCTTGGTCCAGTCACAAGCCACTGGATTGAGGTGAAGGGGCAGCCAGAGCCAGTGCATAGTTCCATGTTCCCTAAGAGAGGTGGAGGGAGGGATCCTGGGAGTGGACCACAGGAAGCCAAACAGAGGGAGCGGCCCTGGGTTCAGGGGCTGCTGTGCCTGTGGCCATGCTGAGAGGCTGGGGCGGGATGGAGGAGGTACCCTGCTTTCTCCCTTCCACCCCAGGCCTCTTTGGCTTCGTGATCCTGTCGCTGCTTCTGGTGCCCATGTACTTCATCCCCGCTGGCTCCTTCAGTGGAAACCCTCGAGGGACCCTGGAGGACGCCCTGGACGCCTTCTGCCAGGTTGGCCGGCAGCCACTCATTGCCCTGGCACTGTTGGGCAACATCAGCAGCATCGCCTTCTTCAACTTTGCAGGCATCAGCGTCACCAAGGAACTGAGTGCCACTACCCGCATGGTGCTAGACAGCTTGCGCACCGTGGTCATCTGGGCCCTAAGCCTGGCACTGGGCTGGGAGGACTTCCACCCACTGCAGATCCTCGGCTTCTTCATCCTCTTGATGGGCACAGCCCTCTACAATGGGCTGCACCGCCCGCTGCTGGCCTGCCTGTCCCGGTGCTGGCGGCCTGCCCAGGACAGCGAGCGCGAGAGACTGCTGGGTGGCAGCCGGACTCCCATCAACGAGGCCAGCTGAGCTTCCCTCAGGGAAGCACTGCTACTCGGTGGCCCCTCTTCACCGAGGCCACACGGGCCCCGGGCCCCGAAGGCCCTGCCCCCTCCCTCTTGGCTGACCCTAAGGCAGCTGCTGACACAGAAGAAGACTTGTCGCCTGAATCCTCTTTTCTCCCCACTGCCTTCGAGAGAGTGTGATCCAGTCTGTCCTGCAGCACCACAGCTAAATCATGAGCTTCAGTGGCAGGAACTTACAACCACAGTGTTTCTGAATGATAAACTGGATTATTGTGATAGATTATCTAGCTTAAGAGCCATCCAAAAAAGGGAAGTCAGTGATCAAGTTCAAACCAGAACGAAGCACTGTATTTTCTAAAATGTGTAAAATGTTTCCTAAACCTGTCTAGGGCACTGGTTTCAGCCCAAACTCCGCTGCAGACTCAGAAAGTGCACCGCAGCCTGTTAGCTCCGGAAAGTGGGTGTCCACACTTCGGCCTTTGGTGCCCTCTGGACCCCGCATCCTGTGGGCCTCTGGTCTGGACCAACCCAAGACAAGAGGAAGAGCGCCCGTATCCCTCCCCGTCCTGTGCCTGGCCTCATCTCCATTGCTCCCCTGCTTCCCTGCCTGGGGATAGATACAAGGGCAATCCCAGGAGGCCTCTGATGATCTTTTCATGAACTTCATTTTAAAGGTGAGGAAACTGAGGGCCATGGTGTAAGTTGTTTGGGGAGGGGGTCTCCTGCCATCAGCTCTAGCCGAGAACCTGGGGAAGCCCCAGCCAGGCAGCCATGTGACTGCAGCAGATGGGACCTAGGGCACATCTGGATCTCAGCCCTGCCCCCGGAAACCTGGATGCCTGAAGAGGCCCAGGATGGCAGGCTTCCTAGGATTCCCACAGTTAGGAGAATTCACTGTGGGAGGGGCCTCTGATGAGTGAGGCCCACAGGCTGTGTTGGATTCCAGCAGGTTGTTTCTGTGTGTTGAGGGAGGGGCCTCTCCATTCCCCCAGCTCTGTGTCGCAGGGTCCACTGTGTGTCTCACAACTGAGGCCTTAGAAGGTTATTTTGAACTTTATTTTTAAAAAAGAAATGGAAAGTTGGCAGTATTGGACATTTGTTTTGTTTTGTTTTTTGGTACCGGGGATCGAACTCGGGTCCTTGGGCTTGCGCAACAGGTGGCAAAACCACTGAGCTAAATCCCCAGCCCCAGTATTAGATATTTTGTGTGTGGTGAAAGGAAAGGCTCAAAAGGTATTCCTGGGGGTGGCATCTAGAATGTGGAAAGCTCCAGTGTACCAGAAGCTTAGAAGTCCCCTCGTCCGAACGCATTTGTTCAGATGGAGACAGTAAAGCCCAGAGAGTTGAAGGAACTTCCCCAAGGTTACACTGCTGGCCGCAGGCAACACCAGGTGGCCTGGTGCTCTGTCCTGGCCCACCCTAGGCTCATACTGGGAGCCCAGCACTGTGCACCTGCCCTAGGCTGCCCCACCTGCATGCTAAATTTCGAACTGTTCAAGAAGGTCTTTGGGAAACACTTGGCCTTTATTTGAGTGCTGCTCAGGGGGATTCAGTGTTTGAAAGGTGGGATTATAAAGGGGTTTGTGGTGAAGGGTAGCAGAACATGGGGGAGGGGCTGGCCCATCAGACCTGCTGCCAGCTCAGGCGAATCGCCTTGCCTCCAGGAGCTTGGGGTCTTCACATCCCTGCCGCAGCGAGCCATCTCCGTCTCACAGGACGGACATGGACATAGCCTTAGAGGGCAGACTTGAAGGTGCTTGTTCTGACCCCTGAGGGTGTCGCATCCGAGGCTCTGAGGTCAGCAGAGGCATTGCCCACTGCAATCCCAGAGCTTCACGTGGAGGGGCAGAACATTTTGTTCCAGCTCTACTGTAGAGTGAAATATCGAATCACATTGAGGGCCGGAGATTTAGCTCAGTGGTTCTGTCACCTGCCTCGCAAGCACAAGGTCCTGAGTTTGATCCCTGGTACCAAAAAAAAAAACCCCAAATCAAATCACATTGATAGTAAAACAGGACACCTGGAGAGATGTTTATGCTGACAGTAGGTGCCCTCATCCCCCAAGAGACTGTGCATCTGGAGATAGGGTGGGCTTGAGGGCCTTTCGGGATCCTGCCAGTAGGGTTGAGGGAGCTGAGGACCTGCATGCCGCTGCTGCTGAGTCTGGCAGTGCCCCACATTCTGAGTGCAGAAGGGACCCCCGAGAGGTGGGCATTCTATTGCAGGCTATAAACCTGAAATCAACTGACAGCGGACTTCTAGAGATTTTGATTCAGCCTAACTGAAACATCTGCATTTCCATGAACTGCTTTGTCCCCTCCCTGCCAGAGTTATCCTGGGGAGAATTGGTCTGGATTAGCCCTCAGGCCTCTCTCCTGCCAAGACTGCCCATGGGCAGACCCGGCCAGGTGGTTCCTCGGGCCTTTACTTGGTCCTAAGGTCAGTGGAGGATTTGGCCATGAATAAGTTTGTAAACCACTCCGGGCATGGTGGAACATGCCTGGAATTCTAGCTATTTGGGTGGCTGAGGCAGAAAGATCACAAGTTCAAGGCCAGTCCGGATAACTTGGCAAGACTCTTCCTGAAAAAAGAAAAAGGACTGAGGATATAGCTCAGTCCTCCATGCTTCCAGTTCCCTGAAAAGGGGGCGGGGGCCTTACAACCCAACCATCTTCGTTAAGAAGTTACCCAAAACGAAAAGCCAATTTTTTTGTACTGGGGAAGAAACTCAGGACCTTCGAGGCAGGCACAGTGCCACTGAGCTAATCCTCAGCCCAAGACAAAACTTTTTGGACATGGGGAACCTGAGTCCCACCCTGAGTGTGGTGCTTCTCAGTCTCCCCCACCCCGAATTCCCCCTGAAGTAGCCTGAACCTCAGACAAGAACAAATGGGAACCTGGGGTTGGGAAGGGTCTAGAAGGGCTGTATAGACCATAATACATTTTCTAAATCCTGCCTGATTCTCAAGGTGAATGTTGTGTCATGCTCTACAGTGTATTTGTGTTTCGTTCCATACACACATAATTTTAAACTTTGCCACAAGACCACACTGATGACCCAGAAGTCAGGATTGTGCCTTCTGCCCCCAGGGCCCACAAACCCCAGAGGCCTGAGTCCCTGAGCCTGGCTGGGGAGCTGAGTACACCCTGTGCAGCCTCGGGCTTCTCAGGAAGCTCCTCCGTTGCCCACTGGCTGCCCAAGAACCACCCCAGGCTGCAGTGGTTCCCCTGGGGTCATTTCCCCTGCTCGCTGCCAACAGAATCCTTGTAACTGTCTTTTCAGTGCTCCCCCAACATTCAAAGCAATCATGTCTCCCTAGCCTGCTTCCGATAAAGGAACCACCACAGGCAGGCTTAAAGCAGGTTTTCCTCAAAGGCTGTGAAGGAGGAAGAAGCATCACGGCTGGTGTGGAGAAGGCTGAGGACTGCAGCATGCTTTGCCCCCACACCCTGAGGCACCAGGCTGGGAGGTGTTGCTGCAGGAAGTCGGCCTGCCTTTCCTGCCCTCATCATGGTGGCTGTCACCACTTGCTATTGTGTGAGCCATACAGGCACAAGGGGTCAGGATGAACTGGAGCCTCATCGATTTTTCCACATAACCCTATAGCCACCCAGTGAGCCAGGCATAGCCGGTAACCCTCATATATAAAATGGGGACCCGGGCTAAGAGAAGAGAGGCTGCACAAGGTGCTGAGGCCTGGGCCACATAGAAAGCAGCTCTGATCCCCGTGTCCTGCATTGTCCCTAACCTCACCTGCTCATTTCCCATCCCACTGTCAAGGCCAAACTCATGACCTGCTCAAGACTCCTGCCCACACCGAGCTGGCCCGGGAAGCACACTGTCACAACAGCAGGGCGCGACTTAGGTCCCAAACCTCCACTGTCTCCTTCCTCGCAGGACCATTGGCACATGTGTATCTCTTTGTTTAATCAAATAACCGACTGTCTCTACTGATGGGTATATTCTCCCCACACCCACCAAGGCTGCTGGCGGCTCTGGCTCCTTTGCAAGGTTTGGTTATCCCCAGTCCTCCCGCTTGTGTCAGCCTCCCTGGAAATAATTCCATCCCAAGGCGGTGGGGTGTGGAGAGAGACGCCATTGCAAGGCAGGTGCTGAGCCTGGGAAGTCATGAGGGAGGGTGCTGGCGCCTGACCCGGACGGAGTGCCTGCTGGGTGCTGAGGGCCTTTCTTGTCTTTAGTGGTAGTTTCCAGTCCCACAGGTAAACTCGATGAAACCGAGGCTGGGCAGTCACAGGAACTGACTAAGCTAAGCACTGGCAGAGGCCTGCCAGGTAAGCCCTTCCACACTGCTGGGCAGACCCATACACTGCCTGAGATGGCTTAAGGTGCCCCACACAGAGCCTCTGTCCCCTGCAGCCACAGGATACGGCACAAGTCTCTGGGAATCCCCACCCAGACAGCTGTCTCGTACCCATGCGCATCTGCAGGGACCTCCGCTTGATGTAGGCCCTTAAGGCTGACGTGACAGGACGGGCACTTGGTCAAAGAGTTGCGATCCCTCTTGCTGCCTCAGCTGTTTCAGACACCTGTGCCCACTTCCAGGGACCCCAAACAGCACTAGGCAGCTGCTCGCGGGAACCAGCAACTCAAGGAAAGCACTGCACACCATTTCTACTGCCCCCCACAGCCCGGTGAGGATACACTGTCCTTAGCTTACACCTGAGGTCCTGGAGGCTCAGCCTGGAAATCTGGAAGTGTGATCATTTCCAGTAAAAAGGGGCTGGGGATTTAGCTCAGTGATTTCGTCGCCTGCTGCCTGCTGCGCAAGCGCAAGGACCCAAGTTTGATTCCCCTGGTACCAAAAAAAACCAAAAAACAGAAAAGAAAGCCATAGCTCAAGATAATAAAAAGGAAATGCAGCTGGGCATGGTGGTGCACGCCTGTTATCCCAGCACTTGGAAGGCTGAGGCAGGAGGATTGCTGTGAGTTTGAAGCTAGTCTTGACTACATAGTTCAAGGCCAGCCTGAACTACATAATCAGACCCTGTCTCAAAAAACAAGAAAGCCAGGAATTTAGCTCAGTGGTGCCACTGCCTGTCTTGCAAGTGTAAAGTCCTGAGTTTGATCCCCAGTACCAAAAAATGAAGAAAAAAAAAGAAAATGCAGCTACCCACTAGGCATTTAACCTTCCCAGTGACAATGAGGTATCACTACTCTGTTTCTGCAGAAGAGAAACTAAGAATAGGTAAATGAATCTCCAGAGTCATGGAGCTTGCAAATGGGAACCTAGGATTCGAGCCACATCTGCACTACTCCAAATCCCAGGCCACATTCCGGGGCTGACCACCCTCGAGGTGGGAATTTGTGTCTGAGCCAGGATCAACCTCTGATCCTTAAGGTGGCTCTGAAATTCCAGTTGATAATTTCTAAGTTGGACATCTCTCAAGTAATGAAGAAAATACAGTTAAAAAAAAAATCCATTCTTCCTGAATCTTCAATTACCTGGCATTTTAAAAACTCATTCTGCTTCTTTCTGTTTCTCTTTCTTTTCTTCTCCTTTCTTCTCTTTTGGGATGTGGCCTCATTTCCTTGGCTGGGCTAGGATGCAGCAGCTGTTCACAGACTCAATCCCACTTCTCGCCAGCATATGTAACTCGGCCTCCCGCTCCCAGGAGGTCACCCTACTGATGCTGAGCTGAGTGTAGACACTCGGTCACCACAGATACCCCAGCCAGGTGTCTGGGTTCAGTCCTGACTCAACAGTGTGATCCCTCAGGGTCTGGTTTCCTTATTTACAAAGAGGCATAAAAATGAGTCTTAGCTCACAGAGTTGTTACAGTTGTTACATGAATTATTCTGAGTGCTTAGCTATAATCCCAGCTACTTGGAAGGCTGAAGCAAGGGGATCACTTGAGCCCAGGAGTTTGAGGCCAACCTGTGCAACATAACAAGAACTCATCTCAAAAATAAAATACTTAGAAGATCTGACCAAGGGGCTGGGGATGTAGCTCAATGGTGCCGCCTACCTGGCAAGCACAAGGTCCTGAGTTTGATCCCCAGTACCGAGAAAAAAAAGAAGATCTGACCAAGGGAAAACACTCAAGAGCTGGGTGTAGTGGTGCATGCCTGTAAACATAGCACTTGGAAGACTGAGGCAGGAGGATTCTGTGAGTTCCAGGCCAGCCTGAACTACACAGTGAGAACCTGTCTCAAAAAAGTAAAGCGTAAACACTGGATACATGCTAGCTGTGATTAATTCTGTATTTCATACTGGAATTATATTTGTGTATGACATGTGTTTCCCAAACTGATGAGGACAGGAACCATATATTGGGCATCCGTGCAGCCCCGGGATCCAGTATACTGCTTTGCTCATAAGAGATCCTCAGCGTACCTTAAATGAATCAAAAACACAGGTTTTCACAGACCGTCGCTGCTGTTAACCTGTAGTGGGCATCCTTCCATTAAGTACAGGGATTTGAGGTTTTGGTGTTGCTGTAGTCACCAAAATCAGTGCAAGGCTAGAGATGTAACCCAAGGGTAGAATGCTTCAACATGCAAAAGGTGGTGGGTTCCAACCCAATGCTGCAAAAATAAAATAAAATAAATTTTTATAAAGTAAAACAGGAAGAAAAAGGGCAGATGATATAGTAAAAATTTTAGTTTAGTGGGTGGAACTTAGTACTAAGCAACAGACTAACCTGGACTTCTCTCCCTGTGCTGGGTTCTGGGGTCCTTCCAGGTGGGTTATCGTCCGTAAATTAGAGAAGGGAATTGCATGGTTGGAATTCTTTCTTTGCCCCTTCCTTTCTCACTGTTCACCTTACTAGGAAAGTGTCACCTGCAGAGCAGTGGCTGGGTTCCTGCCCTATCCCAGCAAGCTGTGCCATGTGTGTGACTTCACCGAGACACCCCTGAGAGGACCCCACTCCTGGCCACCAGCAGCCCTACCCATACCCCCCGAATGGTGTGTCCCCTTCCTACACGAGCCCCAGCCTCCCTGTCTTCTATGAGGACATCACTCCAACCTCCGTTCATCCAGACAAGGACCGTCTTGGGAGGGGGAGGGAGCCCAAATATCAACACCGACCAGCGATGACTCCAAAACTCATCTCAGTAGCTCTGCTTATTTCCAGTCAGTCAGGGCTTTCAGAGGATGCATGGCTTCCCTTTTCACTTGTTTCAAGGAGAGAAATGACAAACTGATGGCAACAGGGGTTAGGAGCTAGCAAGTTAAAACAAAAGGCCAAGGTTGCAGATATTTTCAAAAGCATAACAGAGAGGGAAGTATAGAGTCTTAGAGGACCTACATAAACATTGGGGAAAATAGACTCTGGGTCATGAGAAGCAGAGGAGCGTCAGGGGAGCTGAGATGGGATACTGGTTAAAGGAAGAATGTCAGCAGCCACGTGAGCTGCGTGTGTGGCACACACTTGTAATCCCAGCACTCTGGGCGCTGAAGCAAGTTCAAGCCCAGCCTGGGCAGTTTAGTGACTTAATAAGATCGTGTCACAAAATAAGAGAAGAGTTCATTGGGAGCCATCCAGACTACCCTGCGACAGGAAGGACGGCTTCACTCCGGCCAAAGTGGGGAATACCAACCCAGCAGAGTTGGCTGTTGGATAATCTGAGGAATGATCTATTTCTACTTCATGTTTCAATTTGACTTCTGATTTTTATTTCCATCGGTGTGGGCATGTCAGTGGCTAGTTTGGGTTCTTGCTTTTTAGTAATGAGAGACATTAAAACTAAAGCACAAATTTACTGAAAAAATTTTCATTGGAACATTAGAAGGAAGATGGGCGAGGACTCCAGCTTGGGTAGCTGGAGGGGGCACACTCTGACACAGGGTTTTAGCCTGGCCCATCCACAAAGGCAGAGGCTAGATTTTCAGGGTTAGCTGGTGGCTGGGATCCAGTTGATCATTGTTTCAGTCCCAGTGTCATAGTTCTAGAATTTGTATGGCTGAGAGATGGTTTCATTCCCAGAAAAGGATTCTCCCTGACTGTGGTGGTCTCAGTCACGTGAAGCTCTGCTTTTTCTGGAATCTAGTTGCTCACAGGCTTAGGACAATGGCCGGAGACTTTGAGGCACAGTTGAACATCCCTGGAAACCGGCCCCCCCATCCTGGATGGGATGAGAATATATAAAGTTAGGGCTAATCAACCTTGTTTTGCCAATTTTTAGATAGATGCTCCCTAAATGATTAACATATCTATATGTAGAGCTGAGAAGAGATTTGGCCCAAATTTTACAGTGACAAAGGATACAAAGTAAAAATCAAGCTTTGTTTTGCCTTTTTTACCTATTGGACATCTGTAGCCTAACTGAAAAGTTAAAGTTCATGGCAAAAATGGCTTTAAAGTCCCTGGCTGTCCCAGGAGGAAACACAAATCATGTTTTTAGTGAGCAGCAGGTAAGGGCCCAGGATTCTGCCCATTTCCCCATCCCTATAGTTATCCCTGGCTGTTATTCTTGTACAGATAAAATGGGCTGTGTGTACCAAGTGGGTCTCTGTTTACACCTTCGGTGAATGTCTCCACTTAAATTGTTTTGAGATCTTGAGGTTTTTCTAACCCTTCACCGATAGTCTGGACCTTACCGGGCACATTTAGAGAATGTTGCATTCTCTTAGCTAAAGTTTGAAACCACAAGTTTGTGTGGATCTAATCTATAGCTAATGATTAAGAAAGGGAAAAACAATCACATCTTCTTTGCTTTTCAAGTAGCCCCCTCCTACCTGCCTGTCTCCAGCTTGCTAATGACTAAATTTCTGCCTAACATTATGACTGTGTCAGGCATGGCCTTAACCATTAGGTTTTCTAAAGGATCTTATAAGGCTGAGGAACACTGGAATTGTAGGTTCTTAGGCCATGAGGAAGTCCAGGAATTTTTTTCTAGAATCTAACCTTCTCTATAGCAAGATTTAAGAGAATAAGATCCTTCAAGGCTTTGAGGGGGTCTCTGTCTCTGATACAATGGCTCGACCAACTAACTAATTTTATCCCTTCTCTTTTTCCCATGCTGGGCTACCCCACTGCCAAGAGGGTGCCAAGTGTTAGGGGTTCCTAGGATCTACAATTTAATACTCTGTTTCATTTAACTCCTCTGGACTTCAGGAGGTCAAGTATTCTCCTTGGCTTCCTCAACCCATTTTATTTTTTAAATTTTATTTTATTTTAAAAATAAATTAGCAATTCAATTGGTTCATAAATCAAAATGATATATAAAAATGTACACATTGAGAAACATCACTGCCTATTCTGTCTCCATCCACTCACTACTACTTCGGAGGCAGCCACTTTTATTAGTTTTTTATGAACTCTAGATTCTGTTCTCTACCTAGTTTTCTACTGCTAATGGAACAAAGATAGGGATATCTGTCTAAAGCAGAATTAATGAGTAAATATTTGCTTTGTCTGCTTAATGGCTGTTGAGGATTGGTGTACATGGATTTCTTCCCTGTGTTGTCCTAGTTTACTGAAAAAACAGGCTTCTTTCTGTGATATGACTACACCTTAATGGACTGAGTAAAACTTTCCTTCCTTTTTCCCTTTACTTTTTTTATTATAGCAAAAATACACATAAAATGTATCATCTTAACCATTTTGAAGTGTACAGCTTTGTAATGCTTAAGGCTGAACTTGCCTAAATTAAGAGATGCTGGAGAGGTGAGTGGACGTGCTCTACTCATCAATGGATGTTCATAGTTGGATGTGCTGCCAGCTGGTGAGGGACAGCCGGAAGGGAGTCACCGAGGGTGTGCCTGGAGGGGTGTACCTCTCAATGGGGCTCTCTCCAACCCACTCTGCTTCCCAGCCAAGGTGAGGTGAGCAGCTCTGCCTTTCTGCCGTGATGCTTTTGTCTTCGAGCCAGCCAACTGTGGACTAAACCTTCTAAAACTGTCAGCCATATAAAACCTCCCCTCCTTTAAGTTGTGAGTGTCAAGTTTCTTGTACCTTGGCCAGTACAAGTTTGACAGTATTAAGTACTGTACATTTATATTGTGCAGCCATCAGCACCGTCCAACTCTAAAACTTCTCTCAACTTCTCAAGCTGAAGCTCTATCCCCATTAAACTCTAACTCCCTATTCCACTTTCCTCCCCACCCTCTGGCTATCACCATTCTGTCTTCTGTCTCTATGAATCTGACCTCTCCAAGTACTTCATAGAAATGGGATCATACAATATCTGTCCTTTTGCAACTGGCCTATTTCATTTAGCATAATGTCTTCAAAGTTCATCCATGTTTGTAGCATATGTCATATTTTTTTCCTTTTTAAAGTGGAATTTTTGTCCCTTCATCTATCAGTAGACATTCATGTTGTTTCCAGTTTGGGCTGTTATGAATAAAGCTGCTATTGTTACTGGCCACTCAGGTCTGCAAGTGCACTGTCCCCAAACAAACATGGGATGCATGGTGAAAAGGAAAAAGGCTTCACGTAAAGCTAGCTCTGAGGGAATGGGGGTGGGGGGTAGGTCCTTGCGTTGCCTCAAATCACCCTCTCACCATGTCCAGGTGTGCAAGGATCTTTATAGTAAAGAACAGAGGGGAGAGGAAATACAACGAGACAAGAGAAGACTCTAAAGCCTGCTTCATCCCTTCTGGCTTTTTCCCACTCCTTTTCCTTGTGGAAGGGGAACTGGATCCTGACCTGGTTTTAGCATCTGCGTATTTGTCCATTACCTGGGCTGAGAGGAGAAGGTGGCTGTTTATGGCCTAGGCCTGAGGAAGTCTAAAGAAGCAGTTTGTCTTTAGAGGAAAAAATTCTATCTCCCAAGTTTCACTTTGCTCTGCCAGTTATACTGTGAATATAAGTGTATAAATATCTGTCGCTATACCTCTCCCTTCAATTCTTTTAAATATACAGACAGAAATGGAATTGCTGGATCATATAGTAATTCTATGTTTAATTTTTTTAGGAACCACCATACATATTATTTTTCACAGTAGTTGCACTATTTTAACATTCTCCCCAGCACTGCACAAGGGCTCCATGAAATCACTGATTTGATAACCAGCGATTTTCCTGATTAACATTTAGAAAATTCAAAAAAGCAAAATGAGGAAATTTAAATTTCCTTTATAAGTACCGAGGCATGCTCTGAATTCCTATTCCTAAGAGAAATGGAAGAGATTGTTTCCCAGGAACGATTCCATCGCCCTGCTTGACATGAAGCAAGAACAGGGCTGCCACCTGCCCCCTAGCTGGGCCGCGACTCAGGGCCGCCATCCTGGCTGTCCCCACGACCTGTGAAGTTCACGCAGCTGAAGGGGCTTCCGGATGTCGCGCAGTGGTACAGCTCTGGCCTAGTGTGCGCGAGGCACTGGTTCTGACTTCAGTACAAAACACAAGTGCTCACGAGTCGTCTCTGCGGGGTGTCCCCGGGAGGAGGTGTCGCGTTCTGTGGGTCTGTTCCCTCTTTAAATCCACCTCAGGGTCGATAGGACACAATAAATATTTGCGGTAAGTGACTTCTCTAGAGAAACACATTCTACAATCACACCATCCAGGTCTTAAGAACTGAGCTTCCCTTTTAGACCAGAGGACACGAAAAGACCCGGGTCCCACTGCACACCAGCAGCGCCCATGAAGCAAAGCGGAGGAGAAACCCACCCCTTACTTTACTTTTTCACGAGCTCATTGGCCGGCTCCGCAGTGGGTCCACCTTCTACCCGCTCTCCTCCTATCACCGCCGCCATCTGGCTCTCGTTCCGTGTTCTCATTGGTTCTCCCCGCGGTCGCTCTACGCCCGCCTTTCGGGCGTCAGCCACTGGGAGTCTCTACTTTGGTGTTTTAAAAAACGCTGGCGCTGAAGTAGGCGGGGCGGGAAGTTTGAACGGAAGGCGGCGCGGAGGGCAGCAGGGCACCGGCTACCCCAGGCTCTCGTCCGCCGTGAGCCGCGCGGCCCGCCATGGGCCCGCGCCGGCGCCGCAAGCCGGAGGCCCCGAGAAGGCGCAGCCCGAGCCCGACTCCCGAGACGCCCCGGCCGAGAGCCCCCTTAGGTAACCGGGCCGCGACGCCGCGCCTCGGCCGCCAGCCCGCGAGGGATGCGGCGGCGGGGACCGGCCGGACCCCTGCTCCTCAGACCGGGCCCGACTGGAGACCTCGGGGAACTGTTTTGCCTGCCCTGTCCTGGCTATTCTTGTGTCTGTTTTCTTTGATTTGTACGGTGCTGGGAATTGAACCCAGGGCCTTCGCTGGGAGCTACCTCCTCATCCCTTGTAAAATTTTCAGCGTGAGACAGGCTCTTGCTGAGTTGCCCAGGCTGGGCTCGAATTTGCAGTCCTCCCACCTCGGCCTCCCAGAGCCCCGGGATCACAGGCGTGGTCACCCTGTCCCTTCCTGAGGTTGTGTCCCTGGGAAAGCGGAGGGGTCCTGCTCCTCCATTTCTAGATTTCAGGTTGGACGTGCCAAGCGCCTAGACCGCACAGGGCGGGGCGCCCACTGTCGTATTACTCTCCATTTCTTTTTCTTTCTTTTTTTTTTTTGGTACCGGGGATCGAACTCCGGTCCTTGCGCTTGCGAGGCAGGCGGCGGAGCCACTGAGCTACATCCCCGGCCCTCCACTTCTTTTTCATTGGTGTCCAGTAGTAATACAGAACAATGACTTAACATTTTAGCGTATGGGTACGTGCATACAACATGTGTTGTTTTTATCCCTCATATCCCTCTCTCCCTTTCCTAACCCCTTCCCTATCTCTATAAGTCTACTTCTTAGTTTCCTGGCGTCTATTTATTTTTTTAACATTTTTTAAGATGGCTTATGTAACCAAAGACGTGATATTTAACTTTCTGAGACTGGTTTATTTCACTTGGTGTGATGGTCTCTAGTTCTATCCATTTTCCTACAAATGACATGATTTCATTCTTTATCTTTTCTGCAGACAGTACTGAGGATTGAATTCAGGGCCTTTGCACTGAACTACATCTCCAGCCCAGGCTCCACTCCCCTCAAGACAAGATCTTGCTGAGTTAGTTGCCCAGACTTGGCTTGAACTTGTGATCTCATTCTTTATGGCTGAATAATACTCTATTGTGTATATACACCACATTTCGTTTATCCACTCATCTGTTGGTGGGCATCTAGGCTGTTTCCACAGTTTAGCTACTGGGAATTGTGCCACCATAAGTTGGATATGCATGTGATCACTATAGTATGCTGTCTTTAATTCTTTGGGGAATATATTAAGGAGCCCTGTAGCTGGATCAAATGATATATCTACTTTTAGTTCTTTGAGGAATCTTCATACTGATTTCCATAATGGTTGTACTAATTTACCTTCACACCAACAGTGTAGGAGTGCTGCTTCTAACTCCGGCTACATGGCTAAGAGCGAGGTACCTGAGTATATTACTGTTGTCATTGGGACTGTTTTCCTTTTCTTTTATCCCAAAAGTCATTTAACCTTTGCATCTGGTCAACTTGCCGAATTCTCATTAATAGTCTTTCTGTTGCATCACTTGGAATTTTTAAGCAAAATATTATCATCTGAAAATACTGACTTTTGAATCATCTGTTTGCATTTTTACACATTCTATTTCTTTCTTTTGGTACCAGGGACCTTTTGTGCTTGTGCTGAGGCAGGCGCAGCACCACTGAGCTAAATCCCCAGCCCTCCACATTCTATTTCTTATTGCAAGGTATTGGTGAGGCCCTGAGACTAGCATTGTAGGAGCAGTGACCATCTTGTCTCCCTCATGCTAACGGAAATGTTAAGTATGATGTCTGCCATTGCTTTCCAGTGTGGAAGCGTCCTTCTACTACTCCTGGTTAAATGAAAAGCTTTCCCTTGGGGCCAGGGATTTAGCTCAGTGGTTCCGGCGCCTGCCTCGAAAGTGCAAGGTCCCAAGTTTGATCCCGGTACCAAAAAAAAAAAAAAAATTTACCCTTAAATGGATACTTGACACTTCTTGCCAGGCCTTTTCAGTAAACAGCACAACCATGCACCCGGTTGTTCAAGCCAGAAACCTGGGGGACATTCTTTTCTCTTACTCCTGTGTCTAACCAAGTGTAAATTCAAGCAGTTCTAATCCAAATTGCATAGTTAATCATGCCACTTGTCATTGCACTACTCCAGAAAACTGAGTTCAAGCCACCAACATCTTGAGAGTGATGGTGGAAGCCTAACCAGCCACTACTCCCCATCCACTCTTGTCAGTGACCTTGTCCTTCCGTGGCTCCTCATTAACTGTAAGATTGAATCCCAGCTCTTTATGTCAGCATGTCAAGACCCAACGATAGCATTTTAAATCCCAGTTCTTTTTCATGATCTCTGAGTTTTTTGTTTGTGTTTGTTTTGTTTGAGACAGGCCCTTGCTAAGTCACTTAATTACGCAGGTTGGCTCACACCTGTGATCCTCCTGCCTCAGCCTCCCAGGGTACTGGGATTATAGGCAGGTGGCACCACCTCTGGTTTATAGCTCCTTGGTTTTGGGTCATGGATTTTATATCTCTTACCCTTCTGAGACTATTACCTGTATTTTTTTGTTATTTGTGGTGCTAGAGATTGAACCCAGGGCCTCGAACATGCTAGCCAAGACCTTTGCCACTGAGGCACTTCTCCAGCCTCTGTGTGTGTGTGTGTGTGTGTGTGTGTGACTGAGCTTTATCCCTAGCCCTTTTTATTTTTTAGTTTAAGGAAGGATCTCACTAGGCAGGCCTCAAACTTGTGATCCCCCTGCCTGGGCCTCCAGGTAGCTGGAATTACAGGCTTATGTCGCCATGCCCGGCTTTGGGTTCAAGCTATTCTGATTCTTGAATTTGATTTCTTTCTTTCATGGTGTTAGCCTTAAATTGTTTGATGATCTTTGGTCGGGTTCATCTTTACATTCTCTGTGACTGTTACCTGTGTTTATTAGAGGCTGTGTCTTATATCCCTGGCTCGTGATGGGAAGGCGGGCAGCTGTCAGTAGTTTATCTCCTAGGTGCCAGCCCTCCTCCCTTCTGTCCAGACCCCGGAACACTGCCCTGTGTCTTTGGCCCACATCCTTATCCTCACCCAGGATAAAATCTCCCTTGCCCGCTCCCCAGCACAAGTCTCTTCCACCTGAGCTCTTCAGATCTTCCAGCTGCTTGGCGTGGATTCTCTGCCCTTGTGGGATCCCCCAACATCTCTGGGGCTTCGCGCATGTCAGACCAGGGCTGTAGCCCTGAAATTCACCCCTGGCCCTTGGCTAGACCTTGGATAACCTTCTGACACTAATTTTCTCCTTCAAAATACTATCTTTGCATATGTTTTCTTCTTTTTTAAAATTTTTTGTTCACTTCATTAGATTCATTCATTTTAATTGGTCCTTGTTTGTATTTACTGAGCAATTGTACTTTTTAATTTTCATTTACACTAATTTATTTTCAATATGTATTTTGTTCTTTTCATAGATATGTATCTATATAGGCACATATAGATATATATGTTTTGTTTTGAGGTGGGTTTTTTTTGGGGGGGGGCGTTTGGTACCAGGGATCGCACTCAGGACCTTGTGCTTTCCAGACAAGCACAGTGTGTCTGAGCTAAATCCCTGGCCCCTGACAGATATATTTTAAAGCTATGCATTTTGCTTAGTACTATTTTGGCTATATTCATATGTTTTGTTTTGATTTTGTTCTCTTTTTTTTTGATCTGTTTGTTTTGTTTTTTTAAGACAGGGTCTGTAGTTCAGGCTGGCCTTGAGCTCACTAACACTGTGTACCCCAGACTGGCCTTGAATTCAGCAGTCTCCTGCCTCAGCCTCCTGAGTGCTGAGATTAAAGGCATGTACTACCACCCAGTTAAAAAGAACATTTATGGGCGGGGGATTTAGCTCAGTGTTGCCTCTGCCTGCCTCACAAGCACAAGGTCCCGAGTTCGCTCCCCGGTACCAAAAAAAAAAAAAAGTACATTTATTATTATTTGTTTTAAGCGATTTGTTTACATTTTCTCATCAACATGGTCTTTTTGAGAGGAGTATTCTTGTATTTTTAATTTCTTATTAAAGAATTTAGCTCTTTTATTTTTGCTTTTGAAGAAGTTTTTAATTTCTTTTCTTTTTGGTTGTTGGAACTAGAGCGTGAGCCAGAGGCTGTGACTGTGTGACCCGTATCCCTGACCCTGGCGCTGAGCTGCACCCCTTCCCCAGCCCCAGCTTGCCCTGTGACGAGCTCTGGGCAATGGTCTTCCTTCTCCGGGTCCCAGGACAGTCAGAACAAGGGAATTTTACCAGATAATCTCTGATAGTTACAAGCTATTTAAAATAAATAAAACCAAAATCACCAGGTTTCCAATCTAGGTGAGAAGGATAAAAGGGATACACCGAGTTCATTGAGGCCCAGAGGACAGGGCAACCTGTTTGCTGGAAGGGATTGGTATTCCCAGAAAGCTTCCTGGAAAGGAAACAGCCACTCATTCCTGTAACGGTATTTATTTAGCACCTGTGTGCTGCCTCCTAGTGGTTGAAGGTCGCAGCGGGTTGCAGTCTAGTGACCTGACAGTCCCTGTCCCGCTGAGCTGCAGAGCACCGGCCCCATCCCGCTGTAGCTTCCCTTTCTGACCCAGCTCTCTTGCCCAGGGGCCTCCAGTCTGCGAGGTCGGCGGAAGCACGTATGGCTCAGAGAGATCCGAAAGCTTCAGAAGAGCACAGACCTCTTGCTGAGGAAGGCTCCCTTCAGCCGAGTGGTGAGCTCGCGAGAGCCTCCTGTCACCCCTGCCACCCTTCTTCCTTTAGTCTCCCAGGACAGGAGACCCTGTGTTCTCTTCCCAGGCAGCTGGGGGCTCTGCATCTTCTGAAAACACGTGTCCTCCGAGGAAGGGTGGTGTGGGGCGCTCTATGGGAGTGATTTCTAACCAATCTCAGTTGATTTGAAACTGTCCCTGGATGATACAAAGAGAAGCCTCTCATCCTGCCACCCTTTGAGCCCGTTCCCTGTCCCGGAGAGCGCCTCCTCATCCCCTCACCTCCAGGAAGAGTCATGCTGACTCCTCAGCTCCCCGAAGTTGACAGCTGCTCCTAGCCAGGCCCTGAGGTTGAGGCCGGGACTGGATGACGGAAGTGAGGCTTCCCTGGAAACACTGCGGAGCTCCATCCCCCGCCACCCTGCTCAGCTCCTGCGCTGCTCTCTGCTCCTCCCCACCCTCTCCCCGCCCTCCACTCTTCCCCATCTTGCCTCCACAGGTAAGAGAAATATGTACTAAATTCGCCCGTGGCGTGGACTTAAACTGGCAAGCCCAGGCCCTGCTGGCCCTTCAAGAGGTGAGAGAGGGCCCACATAACAGGGTGGGCTGGGAGCGCGAGGGAGAACCTGCCAGAATTCTGCAGGGCTGCCCAGGAGCGTCTCAGGCTGCATCTGGCTCCAGAAGGGAGCGGCTGGTGAATATTAGCCTGAGCACTGGGCAGGGGTTCTGTTTGCTGGCTGCAGAGCCCCCCTCTTGAGTAGGCTTCCCTTCAGTCCTCTGAGCCCTCAGATTCAGCTCAGCCAGTGTCCAAGGAAAAGCAGCCACCCTGTGGTCTCAGTCCCCTTTCTCTCCCTGCCTCAGGCAGCAGAAGCATTTTTAGTTCACCTCTTCGAGGACGCCTACCTCCTCTCCTTACATGCTGGCCGAGTCACTCTCTTCCCCAAGGACGTGCAGCTGGCCAGGAGGATCCGGGGCATTCAGGAAGGACTCGGCTGATCGCCTGCTGCAGTCTCCGGAAGTCCTTCCTGCTCAGCAGAGAGTGAGTGAAAACCTTGGGCTGCTCAGAAGGACTTTCCCTGTCCAGTCTTAGCCCCCTGCTGTCTCACCTTCCCTCGGCGCCCTGGGAAAGGTTGGGCCTTTACTCGACTGCTTAGGAGGCTATGGCTCATGCCTTTTGTGCAATGTTAAATAAAGATAATTTTCTCTTATGCCCCAAGTCTCTGGGAGAGTTGTCTCACCATTTTACAAGGCCAGATCACTTCTTTTTTTTTTGGTACCGGAGATCGAACTTGGGACCTTGCACTTGCGAGGCAGGCGGCTGAACCACTGAGCTAAATCCCTGACCCTCTTCATTTTTTTTTATTAAGGAGAAGCTTTCCTAACTTTTGAAAATGCCTTGTTAGTAAATGTGATTCCTAAATTTCAGGGATGATACCTGGGACCCCAGAGCCACCACTAAACCCAGTGACACCTGCCGTGCTCCCTGGACCTTGCTACCTTGCTGTCTCTGAGCAGTGTGTGCGTGTTGCCTTTGACATTTTCTGTGTGAAGGAGAAGACCGCGTAGCTTCTCTCTGTAGCAGAGGTGCTGTGTAAAGGAGCCAGCACGGCTCCAAAGGCCTGAGAAGTGTTTGCCAACCCGAAGATTCTGCAGTCACCTTCAGTTTGTGAACCACTCATATGACTGCTCAAGGATTTTGAAGACGTCAACTCTGCTTTGTTATGGAAGAAGGATATTTACTTATTGTTTTACATCTTCCTGTACTATGTACATTTTTTTATTATATGTAAATTTGTACTTTTATTTAAAATATAAGGGAAAAAACAAGAGAGCATTTCAATTAGCTGCATGGAATGGCTGGCTAGGCACTCCTAGCATCCAAATTTCTTCCTTCCAGATTAATCTCATCACTGCTGCCTGTGTAGTTTTTCAAAACAGAATTGAGGTTAAAATAGAAAATCTTTTTTCTTTTTCTTTTTCTTTTTTGGTGTCAGGGATCAAACAGAGGGCCTTGTGCATGCTAAATGTGCTTTACCATGGAACTGCACCCCATGCCTGAAATAGAAAAATCTTCAAATCTTTCTGGTTTCTCCTAGTAAATTCCTATCAAAATATCAAAATCATTCAGAAATTCTGACTCACAATTTAACATTTTATGCTTAGCTGTGAATCACAGATGTGTTATATCAGCCCAGGATTTTAAAGTGTTTTTTCACTGTTTTTACAGACATTTGTATAGCTTCTTTTTGGAGAGATAATAAAAGTAATTCTTTGAAAAAATTGAAGTTACTATTATAGTATACAGAGATTATATTGCATGTTTGTACCTTAACATTAAGTCCTTTGAATCCTATCCCCAGCATTGCCAAAAATTTTTTTAAAGACTGAACGTTAAGTTCTTTTGTACGGTTTATAAACAGCCACAATTTTAAAGAGAATTGAAGGAGGTAGTTTGGTTCTGATGGAGTAGAGATGAGCAGCAGATAAGAACCTAGACTTCTGTTGTCACTGAAAGCAATTTAAGAGCTTTCCAGAGAGATAGGAAATGCCACCCCCAGCCACTTGAGAGATGTGTGTGGTGAAAATGAGCAGTGAGTGCAGTCCACTAATGTTAGTCAAGACCAGCAGGCCAAAGGGAAGTGATGACTTTTATTGCTTAATAAATACATTTTAATCTTTTGAGAAAACTTCCTGTTTGACAGCACATCATATTTCGTGCAGATGTTTGAACAAAGCTTATCTGTCCATAAATATCTTTCATATTCTCAGTGTCATTAATTGAAAGATTATAGTCTTGCTCTAGTTTTCTTTCTTCCTCTCCCTTTTTTGATCATACAGATGAATGGATTTCATTTTGGCAGATTCGTACATGAACATAACGTACTTTCGTCACTTTCATCGCCCCTACCTTTCCCCCAGTTTCACCTTTGGGGGGTGTCAGCATAATATATTGTGTTCATAGCCATGCCCCCTTTTACCCACCCTTACATCCCCCACATTCCCTTTCTAACAATAGACCACCTTCACTTTCTTGTCATCTTTTTTAGATTCCACATACTAGGGAGAACATGCAGTATCTGCCTGAGTCTGGCTTATTTCACCCAACATGATGATCTTTAGAGCCATCTATTTTCTTAACAAATGACAGAATTTCCCTCTTCCTTGTGACTGAGTAATACTCCATTGTGTATATATACCACATCTTTGTCCATTCATTTGGTAGGCACCTAGGCTGGTTCCATATTTTGGCTACTTTGAATTGTGCCACAGTGAACTCAGACATGCAGGTACCCTATTGTAACACTGGTTTTAATTTCCTCAGGTATATACCAAGGAGTGGCATAGCTGGGTCAAATGGTGGCTCCCCTTAGAGTTTTTTGAGGAACCTCCATCCTGATGGCCAGCAGTGGCTGTACTAATTTACATTCCCACCGGCTGTGTAGAAGGGTTCCTTTTTCTCTACAGTATTTATTCCTCACCTTTTCCCTTCCCAGTATTTATTGTTTCTATTCTTGATGATAGCTATTCTGGCTAGGTTGAAATGGAATCTTAATGTAGTTTTGATTTGCATTTATCTAACTAAAGATGTTGAACAATTTTTCATATACTTACTGGCCATTTGTACTTTTTTTTTTTTTTTTTGAGACAGGGTCTTGCTCGGGTCAGGCTGGCCTTGAACTCAATGGTAATCCTGCCTCAGCCTTGGAGTCCTGAGATTGCAGGTGTGCATCACCAACACCCTATCTGTGCTGCTTTTGAGAAGCATCTGTTCTATTCATTTGCCTACTTATAATTGGGCTATTTGGGGTTTTGGTGTTGTTGGGGGTGGGGGTTGTTGGTTTCGGTAGTACTGGGGATTGAACTCAGGACCATCACAGCTTCATCCTCAGCCCTTTGTATTTTTTATTTTGAGACGGTCTTGCTAAGTCACTAAATTGTCCAGGCTGGGGTTGAACTTGTGATCCTCCTGCCTCAGCCTTCCCGATTGCTGGGATCACAGGTGTGCATCACCATGCCTGGCTTTGAGTTCCATTTATATTGTAGATGTTAATGCTCTGTCAAAACAACAGCTGGTAAAGATTTTCTCCTATTCTGTGGGCTGTTTACTCTGTTAATTAGTTCCCTTGCTGTCTAAAAACTTTTAATTTGATGTACCCACCTTCTAGGCCCTACTAGCATCTCCCTGAATTTAAACAGAAGCTTCCGCAAAGAAGTCTGGGAATATCACTGGCCAGCTTCTAACCCTGCTGTTACAGAGAACTTGGAAGAGTGGGAAAGGGCTAAGAGCGGTAGAATCAGCACACATCCCAGTCTTGCTTCATGGATGCAATACCATTTTACAGACATTTATTATAATTTTTTGTTAACTGGGTTTTGTTTGGCTGCATAGTTTGTTTGCTCCAAGTTGTCCCACCCCGTTTGTTCTGGCCTCTTAATTCTGATTTTCTTTTTTAAAAAATGTGTAACAGTCCTTAAGTTTAAGAGTGGGGACCAAAAAAATGGGTACTGGGAGTTGATGGGACTCTGACTTTGAGCTGTACTGTAGGATGGGCAGGGAGCCTTTTGGTGGGGAGCCCCTGTTCTCAGTCTAGCCCGGTGGTAGTGAGCCTATGGCATGCATGCTGCAGTGGGCCCTTTGTATCATTGGAAGCTCTACAAGGTTCGAGTCCCTGGGCTAGACCACACCCAGGGCCAGTGCCTAGCCTCCTCTTGGGATGAGTAAGGTCTTGCTGGTGCTGGGAGCTGAGTGGAGAAGGAGGGGGGAGGGTTGTTCAGGATTCACTTTGCATGAACCAATTTGATATCCCTGCCTGTGGCCTCCCGGATTTCAGAGACCCGCTCCTGCGTCATTTCCTGAGAATAAGAAGTCTTCGGGATGGGGAAAGGCAAAAGAACTCTGGTGAGTTGAGTGGAGGACAGAAGCATCCAGCGATTTGATTATTCCCTTGACAGCTTGTAGCCAGTCCTCTATTTTGGCTAACACTCAGCCGCCCCCAGTTGCAGAAGCATTTGTTAAAGCAATTTATGAATCTTTTGGAGATTTTGTAGTATAGAGTGTGATGGTATCCAATCCTGCACTGCTAACTTAAGATTCTACTTGATTTAGGCCTGTGAAATCAGTCTCTACTTGTCCATCTGCTTTTTAACTTTCAAATCTTTGTTTCTGTTTTGCCTCTTTTCTCCCCAGCTTTGTAAATTTATGTTGATTTTTCTCACTCAACAAGAATTGTATATTAGCAGTTTCTTTCTTCGCATGAGAAAGCTGATTCCACGATTTTCTGGATTCTGTTTTTGCTCTTGAGATATCAGCCATCAGTCCAACAGGTGCTCCTTTGAAACTATATTTCTGCGATTTATCTTTTCTTAAAAGATTTTTCTTTATTTTCAGTATTTTTCAATGTCATTATGTTGTATCTAAGTGTGGGTGTCTCCTTGTCTATCTTGCTAGGTATTCATTGGTCTTCTTGAATATGGATTGTTGTCTTTTCATCAATTCCCATCGTTATCTACACAAATATCACCTCTCCCTCTCCCCGTTCTCTCTCCTCCTCTTTTGGACCTCCAAGTATCTGCTTTCTAGGTCTTTCCACTGTTTCTTTTCCTCTTCTGCTGCTGCCCTTCCCCTTGCTCCCCTGGTTGCTTTGCCCCCAGTGCGGCTACTGGGGGGGCCAGCTTCGCGTCTCCCTTACACAGTGACCTTACCTTACCTTACCCTTCTGGCCGCCAGAAGGAGCGTTTCTACCTGCTGAAGCCCTCGCTGGAGATGAGTACCAGGGTTTAGATGGAGCAGGATCAGATACTGGTTTCCATCTTGGCTCTCCAGAAGGCAAAACTTTAGTTTTTGAACAAAAAAAAATCAGATGGAGTTCACACTGTAAAAACTGAAATTACATGTTCTGCTTTGACAATACATTCAGCACTGTTTCTGAGAAGGTAATTTTCTTTGAATGAATCCTGGAGAATATGGGAGAACAGGCACAAGAACAAAAAGACTGGAAGAACTATATTACTGGTACAGATATGTTGGAGATGAAACCGGAAGACATCTTGGAATCCATCAACAGCAAGTCCAGAGTAAGCCAAAATGTTCATATACGAACTACTTAGGAGCATTTGAGGCTCGTGATGGAAACACAGAAGAAAGCAACTTTGATAGAGTCAGTTTCTTGTCTATGGTTAATTTAGTCGTGGTGGTGGTGTCAGCCCTTCAAGTTTATATGCTGAAGGGGCCGGGGATTTAGCTCAGTGGTTTCGCTGCCTGCTGCACAAGCGTAAGGACCCGAGTTCGATCCCTGGTACCAAAAAAAAAAAAAAAGTTTATATGCTGAAGAGCCTGTTTGAAGATAAAAGGAAAAGTAGAAGTTAGCACTGAACTACTTAACAACATAGAAAAAAAAGGGCAGAAAAATGCAATGAATTGTTACCATTAATAGTCAAGACCATTAGCAGTTTTTTCCAAAATATTTTCAGGCATTCTCAGTAAGTGTAAAACAAGTATAATTTTAATGTGAAAGTCTTCACTTTCTGTCCAAGTTACCTTATTGATCCAGTTATACTTAACTGTATAACAGGAATATTTTATAAAATGTTAAGTTTAATTGAATTAATCCATATTAATAACTGCATTTTTCTAAGTTTGAAAAAATTTTACACATATTATCTGTGAATTAAACAAATTAACACAGCATAAATGCAATACCATAGAACCTGCTTTTACTGAGATACTTCTTTGTAATGGTGACAATTACAAATTAATTGTAGAAAATTTTGATATACCAAGTTATAAGTCAACTGAGAATTATGTAATTAAGGATTAAATATATCAACTTTTTTCTGCTTGCATATGTATCTCTTCTAAAACAAAATAAATTTCAGTTTAAAATATTAGCCAAAAGTATTAATTTTATATGCTTAGCCTACATTCCCAGAAGCTGACATTTTTTAATTCTTCAAACTGCAGAAGCATACTTTCTCATTAAATTAGGACAAGCTTTCTCTTTGAAATGAAAATATATAATTAAAGATTGTCTGAACTGAGGATATATAAATAAAGCTTGCTCATTTTCCATAAGGATACATTCTGTGACAATAGCTAAAGTATAGCATTTTAAAATTAAATATGAGATAAATTTATTTTTATATTATCTGTCAACAATGTTATGCAAGTTTTAACATGATTATTGACTTCAATAACACATTATTACCAGCGGTTGTGAAGGAAATTCTGCTGAAAGGATCTAGACCTAGTATAAATAAATCTTTTTTTTCTGAGTTCTCAA